CTCTCTCTCTCTCTCTCTCTCTCTCCTCCTTCCCCCCTTTCCTGCGACGTTCTGATCAGCCGGCTCACAAAGCTCGTCCTTCACTACTGTTATCGCCCACTCGATATCATCTGTACTCACCATACACTCAGCTAACCGACCGACCAAGGCAAATCATTCCTGCAGACGAGCTGGAAATGCGAGCGCCTAGTGTCCACCTTTCCAATCACCCTAGGCAACGGTTGATTGATCCAATCACACTCCTTAGGCTGGCCGCGCGCAGCTGATGATCACATCAACGTAGCGCCGACGATCCCCCTCGAGCCACGCGTACCTCGCCGGTCTCCCCAGCACGGCTCGAAAGGAAGGGCAGCGCCAGCTGCGAAAAACGACGGGCGCGAAACCAATCTGGTCATGCCGACCGGTCTCCACAGGTGGGGACGGCACCCCACGCACAGACGTGCCCTCCACCACTGAGGCCGCCGATGTCGACGAGGGTCCGCGCTGCAAGGCCAGATCACCGAGCCTCGAACCCAAGCCAACCGCCAGCACCGCACCTTACCGCATCCGGCGGTCCAGGCAACAAGGCAGTACCCTTCTCTCCCTCACCCGCCTTTTCTCCGGCCAAGGAAACTGCCGAACCGACTAGACCAGCCCGGTTTCGTTCGGGAACCCCTAAGAGTACCATCAAACCTGATTCGAATTCGAATGCTACGACCACTACCGGCTGCTCGTGAAGTATTCGAGCGCAACACGTGCGCGCTGCGGACAGTTAGCTGTCCTACCAAAGACTTCGCATCGCAATTCTCTTCTGAGGTGACTACTCGTGGGGCCGTGATCTTTCCATCAATCCCATCAACGGCCGTCGCGGGGCTGATCGTTTCCAGTCTCCCTACCGGCTAACCGCGGAGACGTGAGGAACGCAGCCTATTGGCTCACCGTGGGGCGGTGGGGAACAATCAGTATTCACGTACCGTGAGGACACGGGTACGCAGCCCGTAGTTACTTTGTTTATGTGGTTGGGGAAGGGTCAGGTAGTGATTATGCTGTGTTTACGTTTTTTCAGGTTCGCTATACACAACTCCAAGAGAGTCTGTGTGAGGGGATTGTGGACCCAGTTTCCAGCAGCTGCGGCTCCCCACCATATTACCTCCTCTACTGGGATGAAGCAGAACTCTTTTGGGGGAAAAAAAAAAGAAGTGTGTGTGTGTGTGTGTGTGTGTGTGTGTATGAGAGAGTGACTGAGAGTGAGTGAGAGAGAGTGTGTGTGTGCCTGTGAGACCAACCCCTTGGCCTGTTCTCACAGGCCTGTGTTCTATTCGGGGGCAGTCCAGTCCAGGCCGGTACCCCTGTCGGTACCAGCAAGTCCAGTCCAGTCCCGTCAGTCCGCTGGGGTATACCCAAGCCGTTGTCTGTTTTCGTGATCATTTTACATTCGCACAGTTTTGGAGTACGTGCGCTGGAGTCTTGCGTGGGAGCTGCGTTGTGCCATCCTCATCCTCCATCTCCATCATCATCCCAGGCGGAGAACCACACCTGGTGGGTCCGCTACACCCACCACCCCGTACAGCTGGGGATGCGTGGGAGTTGCGTTGTGCCATCCTCATCCTCCATCTCCATCATCATCCCAGGCGGAGCACCACACCTGGTGGGTCCGCTACACCCACCACCCCGTACAGCTGGAGATACAGCAAACCCGACAGCGGGTTGGCCGCCGCACGCGCACGCGCGCCACGCGCCCATGCTGCCCCGCCCCGCCCCGCTCCCGGATTTACATTATCAAGATCCGGGATTTTTGTTGTCGTTGGGGTTTGAACCCAGGCACCTGTTGGGCCATGCGCGTGTGTAAGCACCCTGATAACACACTCGCCACAGTGTACACATGGCCCTGTAGTATGGCACACGCGTGTTGAAGAGGTGTCGTGCTGGCTATTTACCCCCCCCCCCCC